TATAATAAAATATAAATAAAAATTGTAAAATAGCATACATGGATACATGAAGTTAATTATTAAAAAATAATCCTATAATGTTGTAATAAAATATAAATAAAAATTGTGAAGTAGCATACATGGATACATGAAGTTAATTATTAAAAAATAATCCTATAATGTTGTAATCAAATATAAATAAAAATTGTAAAATAGCATACATGCATTCATGAAGTTAATTATTAAAAAATAATCCTATAATGTTGTAATCAAATATAAATAAAAATTGTAAAATAGCATACATACATTCATGAAGTTAATTATCAAAAAATAATCTTATAATGTTGTAATAAAATATTTAAAAAATTGTAAACTAGCATACATGCATACATGAAGTTAATTATTAAAAAATAATCTTATAATGTTGTAATAAAATATAAATAAAAATTGTAAAATAGCATACATGAATACATGAAGTTAATTATTAAAAAATAACCTTATAATGTTGTAATAAAATATTTAAAAAATTGTAAACTAGCATACATGCATACATGAAATTAATTATTAAAAAATAACCTTATAATGTTGTAATAAAACATAAATAAAAATTGTAAAGTAGCATACATGAATACATCAAGTCATTTAATTATTAAAAAATATGTTTAATAAAATGGAAGTGAAATATAAACTCAAAATGTGTCTGACGCACCCTGACTTCGATTCCCATTTCCGATTCCGAATTAATACGAAGAAAATCCAGTGACGGTCTCCAATAATAACTGACAATGGCGACCGGCTCTTCCGCGAATAAAACTAGAAAGAAAAAAAAGAAGAGAAGGTTTTCCGGCGATTCGGCCGCGTACAAAAGCACGTGTACACGTTCGCGAATGACCGAGTAGTCGTCCATATTCCCGGTATATTCGACCTCGATTTTCATCCCCGTGAATTCGAAAGGGCGATGGGAGTCGTCGGCAAGCCAGGAGGGTGAGATTGCCGTGCGAGCGGATTGACCTCGCGATTTGACGCTGTGCAAACGCACTGGCCAATTATCTGCAGTCTCCCCCTTTTTCGGATTTCATGCCCATTGTATGCATCGACCCCGATGCCGGAGAATCGCGTTCGCAGCTTCTGCTTCGCTTCTGTGCACTTTTAGCGTCGTCCGACTCCTCATCGATCTCGCCGTGTTATTTCATTCTCCCTTAATCTACCATCCATTGATTCGCCTTCGATACTGTGCTTAATGCCGGAGTTTATCGATGCCTCGTGTCGTTTTATCGATAGCTTATTACTTCCTGCACATGCGCTACTACCTCTCGAAACTCAGGGAAATTTTCTTTTCTTAGGAGAATGATGTATAGAGTCGTTCACTTTTGCTGAGAACATGTATGATGATTGCACTTGCAGAGTTCTGCTAGGATTCATCTTGTAAGAGTGAACTCATCGATAGGGTGTATTAAGTACATCCTATACGAAGTATAAATAATTCTAGAACTACTTATAGAATTTAAATGTAGACTTGTAGAATTTAAATGTAGAATTAAATTTCGGTATTCTATAAAATAAATGAAGAATGATAGGGCAGCTTAACATTCCACATTCCTTTGATACAAAAAAAGCAGTTGATGACTGAATTTCATCAAAAATAAATTTCACCCTCAAACAACGTGAAAAACCTAAATCAAACGCGTCCATGAATCTCACCTCTCCGCACGTCATATTTAATGAAATTCCTAAACCCATGGCGATCGATATGAAAAATAGTAGTTCAATTTGAAGCCAGTGTCTCCGTTATCCCGGTCTGGGTCATTTTTTACAAAACGATTTTACAAACGACGGATCTGACAATATTGACACTCGAACTGGATTCGCAACACACATCCGCATCCGAGGGCACGTCACGGCTGGTGATTTTGTCAGCCCGGCTCCCCTTTTTCCTTTACCCAGTTCCTTCTTGTCGAAATCCTTTCAATATATACGTACATACGTACCCACACGAAGCATGGAGAAAGGAACGGTTTGGGGATGAAAAACGAGGGGGTGCGGGGTCCGTCAGAGAAGTTATAGGCCGTCCAAGTGGCGAGGACAAAAGGGACCGTTTTATTATCGAGTATCCCTGGACAAGTTTGCGAGGAACTCTTAGGATGACGCCACTGCAATAATATTTTCTCGTGTCTTCTATCGAGATACTAATTTATGTCGCGCTGCACTTAACGACTACCCCATAATCTACCCATGAAGAATCCATTTCTTGCTTTTGGAGTCGCGTTCAGTCTGTACTTGGTTATTTGCGTTGTCGAAGTGATGTTTTAGAATTATTGTAATTGATAAGGTATTACCCCATCATTTGACTATAAATCTCCAAATTCTTTGAACTTGACGTTCCTTAATTTCTAAATTCTCAAATTATCTATTTTCTAAAACTTGAAGTCATCCTTCCTAGTCCTCCAATTCTGAAATTTCCAAATTTCTTGATGACCAACTTCTGAAATTTTAGAATTTATGTGTTCTTCCTTACAGAGATATCAGAATCGTTAGGTGAATGTTTTGCAACTTTTCCACAGGCGAATGTTCCGCATTCGTAACGCGAAATAGGAATACCCGTTATTTGCAGTAAAAACGCCGGAGGGTAGAGGAAGAAAAATGAAAATTTACCACGGCCCCTAACCGACCCCTGTAGAAACGAAATTCCGCACAACCGGCGAGCGTGTTCAACATAGTCGGTATTACGGTCGTTTTATTTCGCTAATGCCTCGTGCTCTGTCCGTCTACTCGCGCTTTTATTCATGAACACGCGAGGCTCTTCTACCCACCCGCTCCTACAAGCTCGTTGCGTGCCGTATTCTGCGAGCGTAGAACAGCGTCCGCGTTAATGAATAGCCTGGAAGAATTCGGATGTTACTGTCATATTTTAATGATTCGACGATAAATCCCGTAATAAGTTTAACAAAAACGGGTCCTGTTTCGTGCCTGGTATAAAGTATTAACTTTTTAATTTCGGAGGCGAACTTGGCGGAAATCGAGGAAGAGGAGCGAAGATTCGATGGAGTTTAAATTACCTCCAAGTGCAATTATTGCATTACAAAGGTCTCTCAGTATTCAACCCCTTTGTCCTTCCGCCCCTACTTCGTCGCTGATTCATTGAACGAAATTCTTCTGCACTTTCAGCGTCGCTTTCATCGCGCTTTATCAGAAAGGAACAAGCTGGCCGTTTCGAAGCGGCGCATCGTCGCATATTTTTCCAGGGGCGGTACTCGAGCGGGGTGTAATAATAAAACCGAAACCAGCCGTCGCGTTATATACACACACACACACACATAAACACACGTATATGCAATATATATAAAACTGAAGCGGCGCACTTTTCCAGTCGCGGTGTATATTCGAGTCCTCGCTTTGAATACAGCGTCCGTAGAACGGCAATAAAGAGTTTTGACAAACGGGGGTTGCGCGGGGGTTGAACGCAACCCGTTTGCCTCCGCGGCTCGTTGCACGTTGCACGTTGCAGCTATGCATCGCCAACCTTTTTCATTTGCCACAGAAAAACGAATGAACGTCGCTCCCGACGACAAACGGCGAGTACACGTCGGCTACATGAATACGCTAGCCGGCGTTTATGCGTTTTATTCGCCAACCAACGCGGAACGATCAAAATAATTCATGGACAGAGTTGCCTGAGAAGTTGACGCGTCGAGAAAGTAGAACAATCGAGGATTTCGCTCGCTTTTAACTTGCCTTTTATGGAAACGTGATTTTTCTAAAAAACGGTAGGATTTATTGTATTTCATTGTTTGTGTTTAGAGCTCTTCCAAGGTTTTCTAAATCGAGATCAACTTTTCAAAACGGTCACTTAGGTATTAATACACCCTTTGGAACCTGTGATCTGCGATATCGGTTAGATCGGAGAGCGAGCGGCAAATTTCCATAGACGCAGCAATTACAGGCAGACAACGGTAAAAATTTCGGCAGCCGGCATCAATCTACACGTTTGGCCGAATGACAACACGTTGTATCGCATGTTGGATACACACACCTGCAGGCCGGCGGTGATCGCGTGGGTTTAGCAGCGGAGGCCACGGCTGGCTTCGCCTCCGCACCCATCCACCTCTGCGCGAATCATCGGACGATGAAACACTCGATTACTGCATTAACAATGCTACTAATTCAGCACACCGTGTCCTCCCTCGGCCCGTTTTGTCTCTACGATTCAACGGGCGTGAATTGCAATCGATATCGTAACGCTGCAATGTTCCGATCGTCTCTCTGTTTCGCTCTTTCGAAGCTCGCGGCCTCGTGTGTACACGGCTTTCGCAGTGGCTGCCGTACACTCGTTTCCCGTTGCCCGTTAAAACGGTTAAAACGACCGCACGACCGATACGTCATTCCGCGATGTTCACGACCGGCGCGTATCGAAACGGCCTGACGACACACGATCGCCACCGCCATCGGCTAAATCGTAATCGCTGACTCCCGATTTCCACGCGGTAATGAAACTCCGACCGAATGGCTTGTTTCGATCGACGCGTTTATTCGATAACTCTCGTGTCCGATCGATGCTTTTATTCTGCTTTACGCGTTTTTCTATCGCTTTCACAACACTTATCCTTATTAATATTTTCATATTTGTAGAATAATATTTAATTATTAGAAAGATTAATGAAATTTATTAACAAAGTATGACCGGTTTTAATTAATTAAATGCAACACAAATGGAACTTCACGAATTAACAAATTTCTCACGTCTCTATCTCACAATCTCTCACGAAGCAATGCACTCTTTGCTTTGCTCCCAAAAACATTCGATCACACCAAAAATCTTCTAGCAACCTTCATTATATGCAAACTTCAATCATACCATACGCAAGCTTCATTCATATTATGCACCCATGTCGATCATACAATTACATAGTACATACACATACACGTACCACATATTCTACACAAAAGTATAACACTCTTCAATCACAAGCAATCGTCAAAGGCTTTTGTCGAAATTTGTTTGTGTTGAAGTTAAAGCATTAACCATGTTTACACCGTTTATAGAAAACCCCACATCCTTCGAAGTTATTGTTGAATTAGGGTCTGGGGCCTGCGAATACTCCAGGTATAGATGCATGTACGTAGCAGTTCTTTTTAGTTAGTTCTAACTGTGCGCCCGTCTTGTAAGCACCGAATTCTTCAATAGTTTTTCACCGTTTAATTTTTCCTTTACAAATATAATTATTGATCCGATATACTCTACGCGTCTATTTTATTTCACATAACCCCTGAACAGTTTGCGTATAATGTTCTGCATAAATTGCATTTGTTGGTCGTGTAGATCGTTGTATCGAGGCTCGGGTGTAGTCGAGTTTCTACGTTCGCAGTCTATCAATCTTTATCGATCATCGAAATCGCTCTCGACACTGGTTGTCCACTTGCCGTGAAAACCGTTAAAACGTGTCGTTTCGTGACCATCACTGTCGACATTGAATGCCAAACCTAAACGGCAGCTCACGTTTCCCGTCTGTCCGAATCAGAAACGAAAACGCATTGTCCCACCCTGGCAATCGTCACCCTGTTACGTGTTAACGTAGATTGACACGTGCAATAATTTATGTACTTTGTTTTCGTAACATCGCAATCTCCCTTAAATATATTTAAACCATATTAATCATTTATCTGTAATTTTCAAAATTTTCGAAACTTACTCAGTTTTAAAATTTTATTACTGATCAAATTGTTATAGAATGCATATTTATTAATCGAAAATGAAATTTCATAGATTTTGTTAAAAAAATGATGCAGTCGGTTTAACCTTGTTGACTATTTCTGTAAAGGTACTCTATCGCTATTACAGCAATCGGGAGCTCTAAAGGCTGAAATTCTGCAAATCGACACGGTCAGATGCATCGATGCAAAAGATTTACGAGAACATAAAGGTGGTTGGTGGTAGGATCGGGACAAGAGAAACGCGATCGTATGGCTGCTCTGCGGATCGAGCGGTGGCTGCTCTCTCCCCATCGCTCAGCCAATGAATACGAATAGGTTTCGAGATACGATCTCTCTCGGGATACGCGGTATGGAGGGGTTAAATTAAATGATTTGCATAAGTAGGTGGGTGTCGACACCGGCAAACATTGACAAACGCGTGTGCAGCAGCCACTTTGTCTCTCCCGGTATCCCCCTTTCGTTTTCTCTTTCCTTTCCGAGTCTACCTCCCCCCTCACGAGCCTGGCCTACAGCTGGGGGAGGCATCGGCTTATAAGAAGAATATATTATTACGGATAATGGAAACACCGAGTTCGACGTAAACCAGTTGCGAGATAAGAGCAACCCGCCACGCACGAGTCGACACGTGTCGAACTGGCTGCAGGTCACTGATACAGCCGTTCGCAATTACGCTACACGCGTCGTTTGCGAAAGCGAGCCAATCGAGACGATAATCTTCGCCGGTTACGGCGCCAACGGAATTAGTCGGTTCCTTTAATGATCGTCGCCCGAGAGATACTCGACCTTTCTGTTTCCTCGGTCTGCACACTTTTTGCAAAAATTTTATCGCGGTTTTGTGGTAAAATTACGAGGGAAAGCGCGATCGTCGAGATACCTACCTTCTTCGGAAACACGAGATATATTAAAAAGGAAGTTTGATATAAAACATAACGTTTCGAGTCTCGAACAGCGAAATCGTGGATCGTTAAATCGAGGGGTGGTTGGATCGGCGAAGAAATGACGCTCGACGGCAAACGCGTCGTTCGGTTTGTAAACGAGGTTCTCCCGGGGCAGCGTAGCCCCTCGTGCAGCTCGAGCATCAGCCCGTGGGTCCGAGTGTTTGCCGTTGTTGCGACAACGGCGTCACGTGTCAATTCGCATTATTACTATTTGTCGAAGAGCGTCGCCGGTCGAAAGGAGCACCGAGAAAGGGGCAAGGGCAACAAGCGACCCTTCGTGGGAAAAGCCAAGGCAAACAAAATAAAATAGAGATAGATAAAGTGGCGCTAGGATCGGTGTTCGAGGGTTGCTCGGCCGCCACGAGGACCCTCGCCGTCGTCCTTGCTTAATCCCGGATTGACTCGTGTCACTTATTAATATTTTATGCAAACACCATGATTTACGGGCTGGCGAACGCATTACGGGGCAGCGGCCTCTCGCTTGCGAGCCTTCGATAACCGTGGCCGCGACAACGTTTTTATCTTTCGGCTTCATCGTGACGGATCGCATTACGTCTTGATTCGGGATGCAGAGCTCTCGCATCATCCCCTGGTGATTATTGGATAAAGTCGTACGCGTCCGACGAGCGTGATACGATCGCCGATTGTAACGTTGATGAAGGCCAATCTCATCCGGACCGGTTGTTCAACGCGCGCTAAATTGAATCTTTGTCGCGCCGATGTGGACAAGATTTTCAGTGTAAAGGCGGGCTCGCCGGTACCATCGCGTGCTTCGTCTTTTTTAATTTATGACGAGACATGGCCGTATGTTTACCAGTTGGGACTACCTGCGAACTGCCTCGGATGTGGTTCGGGAGAGGAGCTTCCCACTAGTTATCTTCGATTTCGGGGGATCGAGTATGCAAATTTCGACATTTTCTCCTGTACGCTGCACATGTCTGCTGTCGTCTCTTCGGACAAATTAATGAGTTCCGATATAAAAATGTATGGAACAATTAGATTAGTAAATCCCGATATTAATTCGCGATGTTCAGTTAACGATAATTTACTCGGATTAGGCTAATAGACTTTTCGTATTACAATTCTGATGGCAGTCGTAGGAAGCTTGTTTCGGCCATATTGTTCTGCGAGTGGTTTTCGTTCCCGGTACTCTTTCGTCGGTGCAAATCGTAGGGCGAGGATGTCGATGGAGAAGAGACGGTCGGAAAAGGCGAAATCTGCAAGCCAAAACGAATCAGAGTAATCCTCCTCGACGCGTTCTCGAAAAACCCCCTGCCACTGTTCGGTACTCGAGTCGAAGAGAGGGGATGGAGGGCCTCGTCGAAGAGAAAAGGGTCGACGACGGTCGATGAGCATTTCGCAAATGGATCTGTCTCTTTTTTCCTCCCTCCTTCGAGCTTTCCGTTTCTTCCTTCACCCTCCGTTCCTTTCTTCTTCCGTTGTCTCGCTTTTTTATTCTCCGCGTCGCGGTGGAAGCGGTTCACCACCAATGTCTCTCTTTTACCTTCGTTTTCTCTTTGTTTCTCTCTCTTCTCGTTTGCACGCCTTTATTTCTCCCCTAGCTTTCTTCCTCCTCCTCCTCATCTTGTGTCGTATCTTCCCGGCAACCTCTTAGTCGATCCTTCTCTGGTTGTCTGTTTCCCTCGATCCTTTTGCAGAAGAGCCTCGTCGTCGTTCCGATTCTCCCTCGAGCCCTCGCGGCTGTCCTTCGAGGAGCCCTCGACGCTTTAAATTGCTGATGAGCATTTTTAGATTGGTTACGTTAAGTGAATTGGTACATAGGCGGCACTGTGTTCTCCCGATAAAAGTCTTTAATGAATCCCGAAGGAAGATGGCCCCGGCACGACCGCGATAGCATTCGCCTCCGCTTGCCACCCCCGGCTGCTTATATACGCTTTCTATCCGCTTACGCTCGATACAACCTATCGATACAAACTGCAACGTTACTCCGCTTTCGTAATGGGGATCCTGACACCGACAATTTCACGCCACTCTCTCTTTATCTTCGATCGAACGATTCTCTATCGTTTTTATCCCTAAAATTTCATTCCTCGCGATGGGGTATGTAACTCTCCACAACGCGTTATACGACTCGTAGCGATTCAACGTACACACGAAACGCGTGTTACAACGTTTTCACCCTTCTCGTGCAAGTATTCGTAATACAATCGAAACGCGTTAATTGCGCGTTAACACGGTCGTTCCACGGCTCGCTCAACGCGGAACAGACTACGAACAAGTTGAGAAAATCTTGGAAGAAGTAGTTTGAAACGGTAACACGAAACAACGATTGCTTCTGGCGTGGCGGAGTTTTTGCGCTCGGCCGACAAGGTGGCGAACGAAAGCCGCTGACACACGTAAACACCGGGATGAAAGGGGGAAGATAGCACAGCGAGTTAATTAAAAGCCTCTCCCGGCGGCATTAGAGCGAAATCGTGGCTCTGCCTGTTCTTTCTGCCGCGCCGGTAACCTCTCACCCTCTAGTATTCTTTGCTTGGTCGCTCCTCTCGCAACCCCCTTTCCTTTCTTCCCCGTCCCGTCTGGCGAACGAAGGGACAGAGAAAATCGTCGGGACATCGGACAGGGTCTGTGCCTCCTGGCCTGATCCGATAAAAGGAACGGGTAGCCGGCCGAACGCGTCCGGGACCGAGCAACAACAATAATGTCGTCGTCAGTTCGTTAAGCGCTTCTTTCAGGGCTGTTCCCGTCTCGCCTCGACCAACAGGATGAAGAGGTGCGAGCCCCGAGATAACTAACCTCTCGTCTCTCGTGGGCCCACCTACGCTTCGGTCCGCTCGCTTCGTCCACTCGTTACGACATCGGCACGCGTGACTGCGTCAGCTCGTGCATGCGTGACTTCGTCACCTGAGATAATATCGGTGAACCGACCATCTATCATTCGGTGATTCCTCGCGGACGTGCCCACGTAGACCAAGAGAGGCGAAGAGTGTCTCCGGTACTGGTTATCTCTTCTGGAACGATGCTTGGGAACGACGGACCCTCTTGGCTAACTCGCCAAGAATGCACCGTGACGAAGCTACTGTTTTCATGCAGAACGACTCACGGAAAATTTTCATAACCTTCTCCATGCTTCTTAATGCTCGTGTCGTTGCTCCTCGATGAAAGTCATCATTTGTGATGTTAACTGGCTGCCTGACAGCGTATTGTTACGGCTCTTCGTCGTTTTGGGACCACATTTTTCGCCGAATTGTGACTCACGACTGCGTTGTTGGAACATTTAAATATTTGATTTTCTATGGGTCTTTTTTGATTAATGTCTAATGGTTTTGTAACACTCAGTCTGGGTTACAAGTTCCATATCTTAATTCAAAATTTGTAACGCTCAGTCTAGGTTACAAGTTCCACATCTTCATTCAAAATTTGGATTTTGCCCACTTGTGAAGACCGGGACCAACATTTGAAGGTCATACTCTGTCGCGACGCTATCCGTCCT